CCGTCCAGTTCAGTACATTTTAGCGATGAACGGGGTGCAGCCCAAAATAGGGATGCCAATATATTGAAAATATCCAGGTGAGAACAACATGTTGCGGTACAGCTCAGCATGTTTGTTGTTCAGTTCGCCAGCACAGATCAGCACATCGAGTGGTTATGATTCTGCCGTCGCAGCTTGTTGGAAGTTTTTGTTTGCATTGTGCTACAGTGATGTTGCGTGTTCTAAAGCTGACAAATATTACATGCCTTTTTCCTTTCCAATTCGTATACTGTACACGTACAGTACTACCTTCGAACTTGATACTGTAGGAAACAACTGCCCGCGAGCAGCAAATGCTGCCGTTGCCGGCGCTGGGCCCAGACAGAGTTGCCCTATGTAGCTGCGCTACAACTGTACAGCATGGGGATGGAGTGGCAACTTTCATCTTGCCCGGATTTTTTTCCTTCCGAACTGGAACTCCACTTCATTGAGTTCCCAACTGGGACCAGTTGCACTCACCGACTGGTGCAGAAAGAGCTCAGTAATCGCCTGCTTGGCAGGCAAATCTGGACGGGCCATAAAATGGTACAGTAGAATGGTGCTGTGACAGACAGTCGTCGATCGACTCGTCTCTCTGGCTGGGGGAGTGGTGTCTGTGTGGCTTCGTTTTTTTTTTTTTCGAGCAAACCCAATTGGTGGAATGGGGTAGGCATGGTCCAATCATCCGGACTCTGAGCAAAACAATAACCTGCCAGCCAAATACGCGTGCATTTTGTCAAGGTGATCTCAAGATGCCAAACGTGTGTGAGCCAGTCTCTCACGCACTGCAACACTACAGAGCCAGCCACCCAAACACAGATGGCGTGAGTCACATGGTGGTGATGTGGTGATGTGGTGCTTCGCTAAAGGCAATACAGAGAAGCTGCCACATCCTCGTGTGGCTAGATGTGGCTGTTGTTGACAAACGGATACATGGCGGATTTGTTGACCCATTTGTTTTGAGGGAAGCGAGAGCATGGACAACACGAATATATATATATATATATATATATATATATATTTTTTTTTTCCAGCGTGTGGGGTACTCTTTGCGGCTGAAACAACAAAGTTTGATGAACTAGGGTAGATCACGTCGTTTCGTTCCTAGTATTCTCACTGTACTGATGACAAATACAGGCAGCTGGGGCGTGAAATGACAATCCACTGTTGCAAAATGTTGCGATCCCAGATCTGACACAAAAGTTTAGGACGTGGTGCAGATCGGGGCGATCTGAGGCTGATTGTCTCGATCCCGCAATCCATAATTTCCGAGAAGGTCCAAGAGGTACTTTTGGGCAATCGGGGGGGATCTGTCGATCGCATTCGAGATCGCGATCGATTGCGATCGATTGCCTCGATCTGATGCAATCGATTGCAACCGATCGCGATCGATAGGTTCGGCGAATGGCGAATTTGCGCGATTTGTAACCAATGTCGCTAAAGTCGCTTTTGCTCGCTGCTACAAAACATCTCGCGACAGTCGAACTTTCCAGGCTGAACCTCTGGATTTATCAATGCAGCCCCAATGAAAATGAATGTGACACGCGTAATGGGGCAACACTGTGATTCCGGCATACAGATGTACTCGCTTGGTTTCGCCAAACTTGAGCTGGAAAGTACATACTACTAGCCTGGAAGGCGCGGTTGATGTTCCGTCTTGTTTCGACGAAAATCATGGGTCAGATCGCGCGGCGCGGGAAGCGATCGATGGTTGCGTCAGATCGGGGCGATCACACCCAATCGCTCGCAATCTGATCCAATCGACCACCGATTGCGTAAGGTCGAGGCGATCTGCACCACGTCCTTACCACAGTCGGGGTATGGGTTCAAGAGGAAACCAATCAGAGCAAATCTTTGAACTGAAAGGTGGAACACCCCTCTAAAAAAAAGCAGAGAAGGATTTCTAGCGATGCTTCCCCCTTCTGAAACTCTCATCTACAGGAGAAGCCAATCGGAAGGAGAACCCTCATCTAGCGATGGTAATGCAAAGAGCTGAAGTCAACACGGATTTGAAGCAGGTGCTACTTCAGTACCATGGCGGCTATGGGAGCCAATATTTCGTATTCCGCCCACCAGCATACCACTGCTCTTTGACAGAGTCAACTCTGGAAGCATTAGCACCTAAGCAGCGTTGCCGCGTTATATTTGTCTAGAGCATGATGCTCTGGTGCGCCAATCAGTTTTGGTCCTAAAAAAGTGAGGGCCACCGAATAAGTGAGTTTAGACCCCTCCCGATTACTGAGTAGAAGTAGCGCGAGGGGTTTGAGGAAACATAGTAAAATGTATACCGAAGGAGGCTAAAAAAAACGCTATACTACGTCTTTGAAAATTTTTTATCTGTCGTCGTAATCTCAGTAGTTGGGCAGAAACGATTCACAGGTAGTTGCGCAGCATGGACACCGTGCCAGGCCAGTTATTGCCTGACTACACCGATGGGCAGCACCTATATCAAGTGGCTGGAGCGCCTGTAACGCAGCACACAGGGCAAGATCTCGTAGACCGTAGTCTCTCAAACTTGGAGGGTCATTTTTGGGGTGGACAACAGACCGCGGAAGCAAGAGCTCTGCTGGGCAATGGTAGTAGCATGACGGCTGCATTTCCATTGCCTTGGACTACATATCCTCCCAGGGGTTCGCAGTCACAGCTGTTTGGACAGATGGAGCAGCAGGAGATGCAAGGGCAAGAGCAGCTGCAGATGCAGCAGCAGCAGCAGCAGCAGCAGCAGCAGCAGGAGCAGGAGCAGGAGCAGGAGCAGGAGCAGGAGCAGGAGCAGGAGCAGGAGCAAGAGCAGGAGCAGGAGCAGGAGCATCAGCAGCAGCAGGAGCACAAGCAGAAGCAGCAGCAACTAGGAGAGCAAGACATGCACCAGCTGCTTACCAGACCCTTGAGAGCTGCCAAGAGGCCTGGCCCGGGGCATCTACCAGCATCAGACGCATGGCGACAAGTGGAGCTACTACGACCTCCAATCCTTGTAGAGCGCCTGCAGCCAGGCACCAATCAGGTCCATGGGCAAACACTGCAGCTGGGGCAGCCATATAACCAGTTTAAGGATGTGCCCAAAATGTCAGCTTCTGCTTCAGTTCCAAATGTTCCGGTGCCGTTCCAGCCGCAAGTGCACTGGGCACAAGACACTTTTTTCCAAGGCAATGTTCAACAGCAGCAGGAGCCAGAGCAGCAACACACACCACCATCTCACCCAGAAGCATCAACACAGCCACTGTTACTACGATTGGAGTCTCAGCCAGTGCAGGTGCCAGAAGGGCAGCTCAGGTTGGAGCAACTGTCGGCGCAGCTGCAGCCGCTCCTGCAGCGAGATTCGTCACGCGTCACAAAACGTTTCGCAAGCCGATCTCAGTCAGAGTCAACACACAAGCATAATGTGGCTCAGAGACGGAGCTACACCCAACCAGGGAGGTATCGTGGGGTGAGGAAGCGAGGCGAGGGTCGGTTTATTGCCGAGATAAAGGACACGACGTTTGGCGTGCGCAAATGGCTGGGGACGTTTGCCACTGCAGAGGAAGCTGCCCTGGCGTTTGATCGAGCTGCTGTGGAGATTAGAGGGATAAAGACAAAGCTTAACTTTCCTGAGCTGATTCTGGGGGGCGAAGGAGTAGTAACCGAAGAGAAGGCAATATCTTCTGCAGAGAAGGTTGTCGAAAGGACTAACTTGGGGCTGAGGATGTGTGCTGATAAGGTCAAGCAGGGAGGCACAAGCTCTTTTGCAAAAGGAAAGCCGGCGGAACACCATGAGGAGGTGGCAGGTGGGGAAGTGTGTGAAGAAAGAGTCTGGCAAACGGCATATGGAGAGACAAAGGATATGGAGGCACAGGCAACGGGTTGCAAAGCTATGGCGGCAGCAGAAGCAGTATCGGACATGGGCGTTGTTGGGTTGGCAACATATGCAGTTACCACCAGTTCAATTAGCTCGAGTAGAGCTGTATCGTCTACCTCGTCTGCCTCTGCATCTGCATCCATCCTCTCCATCTCTCCTGCCATGTTTCTCCACGGAGAGCAGTATTACAGTTTTGACACAACCCCTGGGGCTTCAGCACGTGTGGTTGCTGTTGCTGACGGTGTGAAGGAGGAATGCAGACAGGAAGGTTTTCCTCTGGAAGATTTGAGCAGTGGAAGTTTAGGGCTTGTGATCGGAGAAGCAATCGATCAGGGGGGAAATATGGATCTCGGGACCGATATCGGATTAGGTGGAGAGTATCAGACAGAACATCTGGGTTTCCAATCCTCTCACCCACATCACTCACAGGAGATGCCGTTTCCACAGCAGCAGAAAGGAGGGCTATGGCAGCAGCAGGGGCAGCAGCAGCAGCAGGAATGCAGACAGGAAGAATTTCCTCTGGAAGATTTGAGCACTGGAAGTTTAGGGCTTGTGACCGGAGAAGCAATCAAGGAGGGAAGAAATATGGATCTCGGAACTGATATCGGATTAGGTGGAGAGTATCAGACAGAACATCTGGGTTTCAATTTCCAATCCTCTCACCCACAACACTCACAGGAGATGCCGTTTCCACAGCAGCAGAAAGGAGGGCTGTGGCAGCAGCAGGGGCAGCAGCAGCAGCAGGAATGCAGACAGGAAGATTTTCCTCTGGAAGATTTGAGCAGTGGAAGTTTAGGGCTTTTGACCGGAGAAGCAATCAAGCAGGGGAGAAATCTGGATCTCAGGACCGATATCGGATCAGGTGAAGAGTATCAGACAGAACATCTGGGTTTCAATTTCCAATCCTCTCACCCATAGGAGATGCCGTTTTCACAGCAGGAGAAAGGAGGGTTGTGGCAGCAGCAGGGGCAGCAGCAGCAGCAGGGGCAGCACCAGCAGCAGAAATGCAGACAGGAAGATTTTCCTATGGAAGATTTGAGGATTGGAAGTTTAGGGCTTGTGACCGGAGAAGCAATCAAGCAGGGCAGAAATATGGATCTCGGAACCGATATCGGATTAGGTGGAGAGTGTCAGACACAATATCTGAATTTCAATTTCCAGTCCTCTCACCCACATCACTCACAGGAGATGCCGTTTCCACAGCAGCAGCAGCAGCAGCAGCAGCAGCAGCAGCAGCAGCAGCAGCAGCAGCAGCAGCAGCAGCAGAAGCAGCAGCAGTAGCAGCAGCAGCAGCAGCAGCAGCAGCAGCAGCAGCAGCAGCAGCGGCAGCGGCGGCAGAAGCAGCAGTGGCGGTGGCAGCAGCAGCGGCAGCAGCAGCAGCAGGGGCAGCAGGGGCAGCGACAGCAGGGGCAGCAGCAGCAGCAGCAGCAGCAGCAGTAGTCACAGTGGCCCTGTCAGCCGCGAATGGTGCCCGAGAAGGAATCCATGCACATTGGGCAAGCACCTCCGCCTGTTTCTACCCCCTCACATCCACTACAGTCGTTGGCCATCACTGCAGCCGTGCCCCTCACCATGACCATGGCTTACCGCAGCAGCCCCTCATGCCAAGGCATGCAAAGTCAAACAAAGCTGGAAGTGGAAGAAGAAGAAGAGGCAAGTAGCAGCGGCAGTGGCAGCTGTAGACACTGGGATAGCAGGAGCACCACTCAGCCTAGTAATGGCATGGAAGGCAGGTTGAGCTCCTGAGCTGCTTCCACCATATCATTCTCCTGCAACACACAGCTCGAAGGACGAGACCCGTCATGTGAACCAGCTAAGTGAAGACCCTCCCGTCATGGTTGCTGCATCAAATATGATGCTTCCCAGACTCTCAGGCCATGTAGACAAGAAGCCTTCAGGAGTGCAGCAGGTGTTACCATATTAAGCCCAGGCAGCGCAGAGTGAGAGGTTCGTTGCTTGCATACACAGTGATGGGCTCTTGTTGGGGAATGAGAAATACGTCCATAAGGAATTGTTAAAGCCCACACGGGATGAGCCGCATGATAACACAGCAGTCCAGGCACCATGGAACCATTCTGCGTACGCATTGAGCACAAAGGCACTTTGGAGCTTTGTGTTGAGCAATAAAGACCCGGTTGAAGTTCTCGAGGCACAAGCCATGGACGTACCATGGCACAGTGACTTGCGGCTCACTGCTGCTGGCATGGCTGATCCCTCTGGCCCTGTTGGACAACATCAACAGCAGCAATGTCAGCAGCAACAACAGCGCAATCGGAAGCATTATCACTGCAAGGAGCAGCAGCCACCAATGGTGCAACCACAGCATCAGCAGCAGCAGCAGCAGCAGATACCCCAGGATCCTCCAAGTGGAAAGCAGTGAAAGAGGGCCCTGCCATCCGCCAGAGCCCCCTCAGCAGGTGACAAGTTGCGAATGGAAGGATGCAGGGGGAAGACAACGAGGGACCAGGTTGTGGAGCCAAGCAATGCCACTCACGAGCTACCATGTCAGCCTCGGCCCGGGCCTAAGAGCCATGAAATTTACAGTGTTTCATTCTCCTTGCAACAATCTTCGGTTTGCATACCGGCATACATGCCAGAGCATACAGGAGGTGGTATGGGTGGTGCTGGAGGTGGAATAGGTGATGCGGATAGGGATGACATGAAGGGCCTCATGCCTTTGCTTCCTTCTAGACTTACTACAGGCGAGGTGCCCCACTTCATGGGGGAGAGAAAGGCACGATTTTGGGAAAGTGGGCCTTTTGATGTAAGGCAGGTGGAGAGCCAGGCTGTGTGGGCACTAGTGTGTGAGCCTCGAACATCAGCAGGCATGTATGTCCAACTGGTGGTGGATGATACTTCACAGCCAATGGAGCTGCACGAGCAGCATTTACTCTAGGCAGCAGTGCAGCAGGAGTGGGTGGAGCCACCACATCACGCACCATAGATGAGGGAGAGCATGCACCAAGAGGAGTGCCAGCAACATCATCTCTCCTGCATCCTTACTGATTCACCATCTCAAGACGCATCTGAGGTGGACCAAGTTATTTCGGTACCTTGATGCAGCGGCTACACCACCAACAGCAGCAGAAAAACTAGAAGGATCAGATATTGCCATTCCGAAGGCCCCAATAGTTCGCAGTCGTTTGGTTCAGTGTTTAAGGTTCGCTGATGTCGCACGAATCAACTCTCGTGAAGTGTGTGATGCTATTATCCATCTGAATTCCCCAACTTTATCTAGCATGAATGCACACTTCACATTATACATACTTGCATTGATTTATAACCTCTCACATCAGAAAATAGGTACGGTAGGTCAATCTAGAGAAACATGAAATTTGCACAAATCTGCACAATGAAATGTTTTACAGTGTATTATGGACAGCAGGACCCGCAATCATATAGAGGATATCAAAGGATTCCAACTACCCATGTACTATAGAGGTGTACATACCGTGATTTTTGTTTTGTTGAACATTTTGATACAATCTACGACTCGTTAACCTTGGTACATTGCTATTTCATCATTTACCGTACTTTCCGTGGCTTGAATTTAGATCCAATGCAGTTGTGAGAGATTTAAATACCTCAGTACAATACTCGCCAATAATCACCTAGGTGTATGGTCATGGTAGCTCTGATGTTTATTGAAGGTATTAAATGTGTAATATCGAAGGGAACATATACTTTCTGAATCCGGTAGAACCATTCGGTCTTAATCACGTACACGCTAGGTCACATGAGATAACACTGAAAAACACTAAATTCCAGTGCACGCAATCCTATTCGGTGCACAAACAATAAAAGAAAATAGTAAAGCAACAAAATTGGAAATTATAATAAGAAATATGAATATGACTAATTCAGGACGTAACGATGGCACACTCTTACACATCTCCCCTGCATAGCTCGGTGGAATAAGAAACACCACTTGTAATAATAATCCTTGAGAGCACGGCTTACGTAGGCCATATCAGCCTCTGCAACCCAACTGTCCCCCGAAGAATCATACACTTTCCAACAAATCAGAAACTGAACGTGTTGCCGCGTCGGCGTCGGTGCGCGGGGGCACATTCCACCTCATACTCTGGTTTATCCTGTACAAGAACAGGTGGCGGTGGCGGTAGTTGACGTACATGGTACTGCTAATTGGGGCAGCCGAACATGAAAATCGTTGTGAAAATTTCATGAGGTCGGTACGCGCAAGCGGAATGCAACGGGTGTCACCATCGCCTCTACGCAGAAAGGTATGCAGAAGCGAGGTTGGAGCTTGGACGGAAGGTAGGATAAGTCTAAGTTACGAGTATCCAAACGGACATGTTCCCCAACTAAAACGGTGTGATCCCGTCGCTGGCCGTCAGCATACTGCTTCTGGGAGTTCTGTATCCTGGTGAGGCATCCCCGAGTCTTCTCAAATATCTGCTGCATGGTGGTGACGAAGTCGTGAGCGGCTTGGACGTGTGCTGGTACGGTTGGCTGATGTGGGGCAATGGAATTACGTCCGTAGCATTAGAAGAAAGTGGCTCAGTTGCGACCATCAATGCTGTACGCGCTTTTGTGGTGTATATTTGCATTAACAAAAAAAAAAAGTAAGGACTTTCCTAAGGCCGAGTGAGTTGTGTTGTTGTAAGCAAACTCGAGGGTTGGTAACTGATAATCCCAGTGGACAGTGGTGTCAAACACTATATGTGTTATTGTTGTGTAGGCTTTAGTGGGTTAGCCTTTAGGGGGTACACAAATCTAGGGTTTGCTACTTGTACTCCAACTTTTCATAGTTCAACCACTTCTTGTTTCTGACATGGTATTAAGAGCTATAGGTTCTAGACCTAAGGGCCCACCGTTCCGCTAGTGGTGCCCTCGTGCGCCCTCTTTTTTTTTAGCGCCCTCGTGCGCCTCTCCTCTCGTGCGCCCTCGTGCGCTCTCCTCTCACGCTGCCCGTGTGCAGCCAGCTAGCAGCCCGAGCGCGGCCCCGCCGTTTTAGCGCGCGTAGGAAAACCGCCGCCTAGGGCGGCTCGATTTTTTCTCACGAGCCCCAGCAGGCCGTCGCCCGTAGGCCCCGCTAGCCCCTAGGCCGACGCGCGACCCACAGCCGCCCGCCCGTAGGCCCCGCGGCAATCGCGCGCCGGCTGCTGCAGCCCGCGCTAGAACGCAGCCGCGGCCCGCGCGCTTAGCCGCCGCTAGACGCAGCCGCGGCCCGCGCGCAGCCGCACCCTAGGCGCCGCCGCGCACCGAGCATAGGCCCGGCGTCGCGCCGCCCTACCCACCCGAGCCGCGCCGCCCGAGTCGCGCCGCCCGAGTCCCACCGCCTGAGTCGCGCCGCCCGAGCCGCGCCGCCCTGACCGACTCGCGCCGCCCTACCTGCTCCTACTGCTACTACTGTTGCTTCTGCTACTACTGTTGCTACCGCTACTGCTGCTACTGCTACTACTGCTACCTGCTACTGCCACTATGGCCAGTCCCATTGTTCTCACCTTTGACGCCGAGGGCCGCCCGATTAAATTCAATGTCTGGCTTGATGACCTGCACCTGTACCTCCAGATCACTGCCAAGGACGATGTTTCCCTCTATGACCACACGTCCGGCGCTGCTCCCGCACCTCCCGCTACTGCTAACAGCACTGCTCGCTCCCAGTGGCAGACCCGTGATGCTCAAGCGGACGTCCTTGAGGACAGACAGGAGGACCTTGAGTGTCTTGCAGCCGCTGCGCCCCATCTCGTGTCCATGCTGATTGCCCCTGAGGGAGACCCGGATGCACCAGACATCCCGACTCCTCGATCGTACGCTGAGGCGATCGACGGTCCCTACTCCTCACAGTGGCAGTCAGCCATGGACGCAGAGATGGCTTCCTGGAAGTCCACAGGTACCTACGTCGACGAGGTTCCCCCACCTGGGGCGAACATCGTCAGTGGCATGTGGATTTTCAGGGTGAAGCGGCCGCCGGGTTCTCCGCCTGTCTTCAAGGCTCGTTACGTTGCTCAAGGCTTCAGTCAGCGAGAGGGAGTAGACTTCTTTCAGACCTTCTCCCCCACCCCGAAGATGACCACTCTTCGGGTACTACTGCACGTTGCTGCTCAGCGTGACTACGAGCTTCACTCTCTTGACTTCAGCACAGCTTTCTTGCAGGGCAGTCTGCACGAGGAGATCTGGCTGCGCCGCCCTCCTGGCTTCACTGGGTCGTTTCCTCCTGGTACCCAGTGGAGCCTCCGGCAGCCGGTCTACGGTCTCCGCCAGGCGCCACGTGAGTGGCACGACACACTGAGGACTACTCTTGCGGCACTTGGGTTCGCTCCTTCTACTGCTGACCCGTCGCTGCTTCTGCGCACCGACACTTCGCAGCCGCCGTTCTACATCCTCGTGTACATCGACGACTTGGTCTTTGCCACTGCCGACACTGAGGCTCTCGCCCACGTGAAGTCGGAGCTGCAGAAGAGACACACGTGCACAGACCTGGGTGAACTGCGCAGCTACCTTGGCTTGCAGATCACCCGGGACAGAGCACGCCGCACCATTACCCTGACTCAGTCATACATGGTGCAGCAGGTCCTTCAGCGCTTCGGCTTTACCTGGTCCTCAGCACAGGCCACTCCTCTGGCTATAGGTCACTCGCTCTCAGCTCTGCCTTCGGATGAGTCCGTAGAGTCGAGTGGTTCTTACCCAGAGCTAGTTGGTTGCCTCATGTACCTGATGACTTGTACTCGTCCTGACCTAGCATACCCTCTTGGCCTTCTGTCCCGCTACGTGGCTCCTGGCAGGCACCAAAAGGTGCACTGGGATGCTGCAAAGAGGGTATTGCGCTACTTGTGCAGTACATCGGGCATGGGGCTCGTGCTTGGAGGAGGGAGCTCAGTTGTTCTCACTGGGCACTCAGACGCTTCTTGGGTTGACGACCAGGCTCAGCGGTCGGCACAGGGTTACATCTTTAGCCTTGGCTCTGGCTCAGTTTCGTGGCGTTCTACGCGTTCGTCTTCAGTTCTCAGCTCCAGTTGTGAGGCTGAGATCTACGCCACA